GTATTACGAAAATGTGATGCAATCTTCAGGATCGTGACAAGCTCACCGAATTCAAGATAGATCTCAGGAATACGTTCTAGGCCTTTAACGATCTAATCAAAGTAGCCTACTATGGAGAACAACTGAAAAGGGGTCAAAGAAGCAATAACTTCAGCATTTCATGAAATTTTGTGCCACAAGAAGCACCATCACGAAGAATGGATCTCTGTGGACACTGGATAAAACTGAACAAAGCAAGAACAGGGAAACAAAAATCAATAACATACAAACAAGAGTAGGGAAAGTTAAGGTACAGGCCGAATACACAGAAGTAAACAAGCAAAGAGGTGCATTAGAGATGATAGGCGGAAATGTGTAGAAGATCTAGCAATGATGGATGAAAAAGCTTCAGACAATGATACGATACAATGAAGACACTCACTGGATAGTACAGTAAGCCAGAACAACTAGGCAAGAAGAAGGAAAGCAATACAATATCCGACACTTGAAGAACTCCTGAATAAACAGGCTCCACTGAACCCACCAACATCAAAGCAGCACCTACAGACCTCTCAACCGATGTTGACCCACTAACAATGGAAGAAAGCAGCGTGTTCGTGAGACGTCAAGTATGGCAAAGCAGTATCAACAATCATTTGAATGGAACTCACTGATGTACATCAACTTTAAGGACGACAAGAAAGCATTTGATAGGGTGGAGAGGATGACACTATGGAGGCTTATTCGACACTAAGTTGCACGTGAGAAGATGGTCAACATCACACGGAGTGATTATGATGAAGTACACTGCAAAATCGTGCACGGAGGACAGCTTATAGACTGATTTCAAGTAGAGACCGATATCAGACAAGATTGCTTAATCTCATCTCTCCTGGAAGTTGTCTGGATTATGAAGACTTCGACATCTGAGGGGAATCACGGAATACAGTGAACAGCTCGGATGCATCCGAAGCCTTTTGACTTCGCAGACGATCTAGCCGTTCCATCTCACACAGAGGAACAAATTCAGATGAAGACGGCCAATGTAGTAGCAACAGTAGGTTTTAAGATACACAAGGGAAAAAGTAAAACCCTTCGATACAACACAGAATGTGACAACCAAATCACACATGATGGGAGATGTAGAAGCATTTACATACGTGAGCATCATCATAGATAAACAAAGTGGATGTGAAGCAGATTTAAAGGTACGAAGCAGAAAGTAAGGGTAGTATTTCTACAATCGAAGATCATCTGTCACTCACAGCAACTGTCGATCAACACTAAAGTCAGAATTTTCAATACGAAAATCTAGTTCTATTTTATGAAGCGAAAACTTGACGAACTATCACAACCATCGACCAGAAGATACAGTGTATCTTGATAGCTGTTTACGCAAGATACTGCAGATCCGTTGGTCAGGCACCATCAGCAACAACCTACTGTGGGAAAGAACTGGAGAGAACAACCCAGATTCTAGCTGGGGATAAATTAAGAAAAGATACAGGAGGTGGATAGGACATAAGTTGCGTAAATCACAGAACTGCATCACGAGGCAAGTCCTCACTTGGAATCCTCAAGGCCAAAGGAAAGGAACACACCGCGCAGAGAGGATATGAAAAGAATGAACAGAGATTGGGTAGAAGTGGAAAGGAAGGCCAAGGACAGAGTTGGTTGGAGAATGCTGGTTGCCGGCCCATGCTCCATTAGGGGCCAACAGACGTAGATAAGTAAGTAATCCGTTTCAGTATCCAAAACATGGTTTCGTTATTTTTGACAAAAACAATAAAGGTATTTCTTGTAAAATGTAATGCATTCAGCGTATTCTCCTATTTTATATCCACAACAAGCTAAAAAGCTTGATTAGAAATGTAAACATAATCAAAATGTGTAGGAAATCAATTGTTTCCAGATGTCTGTAAGAGTGAAACTGTTACAATCTTATCGCTAAATCAGACATCACGGCTCACTGAGGCAGTCGGTGGTTGGGTATATGTAACACATGTCCCAACCACGTCCACAGATGATGACTCACGACTTCATCGATTGAGATGCCATCCTTATCTACTAACCGTTCCCTACCAACAGCACTGATTACTCGATCGTTCCAGGATATACGAGCAACGCTTCGAAGACAGCTATGACCGAATACTAGTAAACTACGAATATCCTCTACTCTTGCTGGACAAGTATGAGTCAAATCGAGTGTAGCAAGTTATAACGAAATTTCTGGAAACAAGACCCCGTTAATCCTTAACAAGAAATAGTCATAAAAGATATATTTTGATGCCGAGCAACGTACTTAATGTATAATCATATAATCGAAAAATTAACATGAACAAAAATGAATTTAGAACCGTATAATTGATTAACATGATAAACTGGAATCAGAGAATATGGAGGAAGCATTTAGCACTGTTTCGATCAAATCACATCGATTGACCAACCATAATTAAGCTAAAATAAATCAAGAACTTTATTAATTGTGTGAAGAGAACCTTTTAGAACTATTTTATGCACCTTGGAACAATTGTGATGTACTAAAATTATAACTGAAAATATTGGACACCTGAAATACTTACCAAGCATAAGATAATCTCTACGGTTGGTGTATATTTGTTGAAAGATGACTGGAATATAAAACATGAATGCATTTGAGTAGATAAATACCTAGAAAGCAATTAATCAGTGTTCCAGTAGTGCTGAAAGTATAATGTTACACCACTTCAGTAAGTAAATGATAATGTTTTGATGTTGAATAACAATAATGAGAGAAAACTTTGAAGAAACGATTATATTTATTCAGCATTATTTAACGAATCAGTAGACGTGACAATTATTGATTTACCTGAAAAGTCTATAATGAAGAAAGAGAATTGTAGACAGAAAGTATCTAGCAATTTCAACTTACTAACTCGATGATACTAACCGATTCAATCTTAAATAATCTACTACACCTGTAAAATTCATATTTTAAAAATAATATTCAGATTCCACTGTAGAAATAAAATAAACAACATAACTTTATTGTGATTTGTACGAAGGTTTGATTGAAACAGAAATTCAAATAACTATTTGAAGGCAATAAAATCGTCAGGAGATCCGGCTTATTAAACCCACTAACCTGTTCACTACACCTTACTGCCTAAGACTGTTGCCTAAATAAAAGATACGTATGACGTGAATAAAACATTCTGTTTGCACATTCAAGTATGTTCCTCAATATTCGTTGGTTGAATTCATTTTTTACTGAGAAAAATCAAGACGTTTGATTTACTTTTTACACACGTATTTAGAAAATAGCGTTGACGATTTCACTAATAAAACAAGAGCAGCGTTTAGTTATATGATCAGGGTGTTCGTTTGCAGTAAAGTCAAACTGACATCAATTACGTCCAAAGCTTGAAAGTAACTGATACGAATAATCAATTAGAATGAGTGAGTACTAACCTTTTTTAACTACAAACAGGAAGAAACGCACAGTATTCCGTTGGCTTGGATATAATATAATAATAAAGCTAGAAATACTAGGTCTAAGCTGAATGAAAAAGGCGCTGGAATAAAAGTATCTCATGGTATTGAATAAACTGTTAATAAATTATATGAAAATAGGCTTAATTCAAGTCACTAAGATGTTAACTTCCAGTTAGGCGGATAAAACAACTAAGTGTCTTTAATATTAGAATATATTATGATATAAAAAAAGACTAGAGGCAAACACTGCCATATATGCAAACAGGTGGAAGAATCAAAATGGGTGGGAAGGGATAGTTATAGCAGAAGCATCTAATTTTATCCAGTAAGTAACAACTGATGTATAATGTAAGAATAAAGGATATATATGTATGTATCGATTAAATGGGAAAATTTGAAATAATTGATAATTTCTTTTCTAGTAATTGAAGACAAATTAATAAGACACAAAAAATGATTAAATGCCTTATTGATATATCACACAGCCTTGAATTGGGAGTAATCATGATTATATGGGTACTGTAGTCTGTGTTAATGCATCGTTCATGAACATAAATGCATGAAAACTTAAAAACACAATATTCATATCATATACAAATAATATATTAACAATAGAACGGTAATAAAGCATGTAGAATAGAATAAGAGAGACTAATAAAAGGTACGGAAATATATTTCTGAAAATACGTAAAATAATATGTGAATAATGTGTCGTTAAATCAGTTTATTTGGTTTAATATAGATAATATGAAACGATTTAGAAAATTAATTCAAGCAGTAAAATACAAATATTCTGATGGTTTTATTTGGTTATCTATTCATATATACGTAAAACAGTGATAGAAGTAGTATAGCGCAGAAAAATCTAAATGTACAAATCGAAAAAAGTTTCTAAAATACATTCTGAAATCATAATGATAACCACATAATTCGGTTTTATTGATTAAAATAGAAGATAGTAACAATATTTCTATGAAGAGAATTGTTGAGGTGTGGGTGAGGATATTACCACAAAAAAAGGATGCTATGGTTGAAAGAAAAATGACAAATGTCATGGGTACACAGAGGAATAATGAACTTTTATTGGCGGTCGAGAAATAAATTAGCATTGATTAAACAAGCATATAGAAAGACAAGAAAAACTCGCATTAGGATTTTGCTTAATGCAATAATAATTACAATAAACACCAAATTATAGATTAAAAACTAAACAAGCAAATAGATCTGGAGAAATAATTGTGAATATTGAGCTGATTACAACCGTGTATTCATTACAACTACTGTGTTTGGTTGTCAAATAATGAAAGATCAGAGTTTGAATTGTATGTATTGCACACGGATGAGTTCAAATAACTGACAAACTAAAGAAATTAAACAATATTGACCGGATATGAAAAACTTTGGCAAAGATCAGATGCTAAATCTAGTATAATTCTCAACAGGTTTGTTTGTAAAATAACTTGAGTAAAATATATGTTGAACAATTAGTGAAACTTATGCTTTTAAGAGACTAAATACAAATCTAGCTTATTATTATTTAGACCATGTTATTCTGTTGTATATTCCAAAGCATGAGATTTTACATTTGGTATATTATCAGTTGATATGATTGGATTGTCTCCTAAATTTACTTCAGAATCACAAACGTTATCATTAGAATTAGGACACGAACAGTCAGCAACAGCTTCATGTTCTCCTGATCTAGATTGTAATCCTGATGGCACAGCTAACTGATGCTGACTTTGATGGTGCTTACCACCATGTTTAGGTTTGCCACGACTGAAGAAGTTCACGAAAGCATTCCTTTTCTTCAACAATCCACCTTTTAAATGTGGAGTAGTTTCATTCTGCAAAACACTATCTGAGAGTTTTGAGTTCTGAAAATGAAACAAAATAATTGCGCAAGTAATTATCATAATTACAAATTACTATAATATTAATCAATTCGGATAGAAATGTATTTAATAAGCCAATTACAACATTGAAGATGAGTCACAGACCGATAAGAAATGGATCAAACAGATAAGAAGTGTTTATCAGGATTCCATAGAATATTCATGTCACTATGATTTCCATATAACGTTGATCAAACACAACACTTAACACTGCTATGGAAGTTCTTGATAACTAGGTATGCTGTTATTTAAGAAAACGATTACGTTACCATCATTTCGTTTTTGTTTTAACTAGGAAACAACATTTGTACATAACTAATATCAGATATTTCCTGTATATCTTTTTTGGTCTATCTCATTACACTTCTAAAAAACAAGATAATATATATTATTTTGAACCAAATTTATGTCAAGCCTGAATCACAGCACTAAAAGCAATTATCTAATTAGCGTCAAAGATGTTTATACTAGCTTAGATACTTCAGAATACATTATAGGTATACATTTATATCATGGATAATTGTGCTCCAATAATCTTACACACAACTCATATTTTATCATCTTAAATGATGAAATGTTTGACATTGTCATTCATAATTTAAAAGTTAATACAATAAACTCGATACATATTTTTCCTAAAAATGACTTCGCATATCGAAAAAACCTACATTCCACACAAAAAATCTATGTTAATATTAAAAAATCGACAAGTACACGAACTTGTAGTAAGTAATATGACCTTAAACTATCTTTGGTCATATATACACTGAATATATATATATATATATATATATATATATATATATACATATATATATATATATATATATATATATATATATATATATATATATATGAAGCAATCTTAGCTCTTAGAATGTGAATAACAAAACAACTACGCACTATACCATGAAGCAGTGTATTAGTGTATAGAAAAGATTCAGGGAAAACAATGTAGATTTATTAATTCCGTAACTAGTCAAAAAACAGTCCACGCAAGTTAATAGTACAATCACTAGTAAAATTTAATCAAAGATATATTCAGATTCGCAGACTGCACCACAGATTCAAGCAGCAGAAAACAAACACGCTTTTAGATCTGATCAAGTTTATGCGAAGAAGAAAACATAAGTAGAGTTTAGTTTTTAAACTTAATATGTATGATTTCAGTCTTCATCACATACATAATGGGAGTTTAATAGTGAAAAACATATTCACTGTAACGGTTTTTATTCCATTTCATGTCCAACCCGTTCTGTTGATTTCAAATGATGGCTAATGCCAGTAAAAAGTCAAACCACCGGTACTAAACAGCAAAAATTAGAACTGAAGCGTACGCACTGAAGCAGAGTAGTTATGATCTATTTTCGTAAATAAGAACATTTTATATTTATATACATTTGTAATTGCATATCTTCACTACATCGGAAGTATTTGCAAGAAAAATAACAGTCTAAAACTACAAAAAAAATTACGAACAAGATTGAAAATAATAATAAAGAACTTAAGGTGAATTAGAACTTAAGAAACTGTTTAATTACATCAATACTACTGGTCAATGCTAAGATTAAATCTTAATAATCGATATAAATCCATCACATGGGATTATTTCGAGACTACGACAATTACGTGAATATTGAAAACAAAAATTAAATTTACGACCGGTTGTAAGAATACAATCATTTATTTGTGCATGTTAATGAAATCATAATTTACTGATGCGCTGCATTTTATAAATCTTGACGGAAGATTGAAACGACTGGTCATTTAAATTACTCTTCCATAACTTTTGAAATGTGAACATGTCGACGAAAATATTAGCATAACGCTGAAACCCAAACTAGAATCGGGATAACAGGAAGTTTTCGATATCGAAATTATTAGGTACGAATTCTTACAGAGTACATATTCAGATAATTCTAAATCACAGGATATAGATGGTATTTTAAAAAGTGCACCCTGAGAAAAGATTTAGTCGAGTGTACTAACAAAACAATCTGTTTTAAGCAACAAAATAATCTGTTTTCGTTCAAAACATCAGAGTTATTCAAATTTGTTTTGAAGTTACAGTTTAAAAGTAAATTAATGGTATCAAACATTAAGATAGACGTAAGTTAAATTAAGACCTACAATAGATTGATTGGTCAGCTTTAAGGAGCTATTAGCACTTTGGGAAGATTTGCGGTAAACCGTTGGGTCACAAATATCATCACCTGTTTGCTCATCACATGTTTCGAACTTAGAATCTTCAAGTTTTTCTCGATTTGAAAGTTGACGCTCGGCAGATAAAGAACGAGCGAGACAAACCGGTCGGTCTTGCGATCCTGATTTGGCAGAGATAGTAGGGCGTGAAACAGAAGACAATTTTCCACAGTGAGCACGTGACAATCTCTCTTCAACAACACAACGGAGGGGGAGGGGGGGCACCCCCACCGTTGAGTTGTAGAAGAGAGATTGACACGTGCTCACTGTGGAAAATTGTCTTCTGTTTCACGCCCTACTATCTCTGCCAAATCAGGATCGCAAGACCGACCGGTTTGTCTTGCTCGTTCTTTATCTGCCGAGCGTCAACTTTCAAATCGAGAAAAACTTGAAGATTCTAAGTTCGAAACATGTGATGAGCAAACAGGTGATGATATTTGTGACCCAACGGTTTACCGCAAATCTTCCCAAAGTGCTAATAGCTCCTTAAAGCTGACCAATCAATCTATTGTAGGTCTTAATTTAACTTACGTCTATCTTAATGTTTGATACCATTAATTTACTTTTAAACTGTAACTTCAAAACAAATTTGAATAACTCTGATGTTTTGAACGAAAACAGATTATTTTGTTGCTTAAAACAGATTGTTTTGTTAGTACACTCGACTAAATCTTTTCTCAGGGTGCACTTTTTAAATACCATCTATATCCTGTGATTTAGAATTATCTGAATATGTACTCTGTAAGAATTCGTACCTAATAATTTCGATATCGAAAACTTCCTGTTATCCCGATTCTAGTTTGGGTTTCAGCGTTATGCTAATATTTTCGTCGACATGTTCACATTTCAAAAGTTATGGAAGAGTAATTTAAATGACCAGTCGTTTCAATCTTCCGTCAAGATTTATAAAATGCAGCGCATCAGTAAATTATGATTTCATTAACATGCACAAATAAATGATTGTATTCTTACAACCGGTCGTAAATTTAATTTTTGTTTTCAATATTCACGTAATTGTCGTAGTCTCGAAATAATCCCATGTGATGGATTTATATCGATTATTAAGATTTAATCTTAGCATTGACCAGTAGTATTGATGTAATTAAACAGTTTCTTAAGTTCTAATTCACCTTAAGTTCTTTTAAGTCATTTTTTATTATTTTCAATCTTGTTCGTAATTTTTTTTGTAGTTTTAGACTGTTATTTTTCTTGAAAATACTTCCGATGTAGTGAAGATATGCAATTACAAATGTATATAAATATAAAATGTTCTTATTTACGAAAATAGATCATAACTATTCTGCTTCAGTGCGTACGCTTCAGTTCTAATTTTTGCTGTTTAGTACCGGTGGTTTGACTTTTTACTGGCATTAGCCATCATTTGAAATCAACAGAACGGGTTGGACATGAAATGGAATAAAAACCGTTACAGTGAATATGTTTTTCACTATTAAACTCCCATTATGTATGTGATGAAGACTGAAATCATACATATTAAGTTTAAAAACTAAACTCTACTTATGTTTTCTTCTTCGCATAAACTTGATCAGATCTAAAAGCGTGTTTGTTTTCTGCTGCTTGAATCTGTGGTGCAGTCTGCGAATCTGAATATATCTTTGATTAAATTTTACTAGTGATTGTACTATTAACTTTCGTGGACTGTTTTTTGACTAGTTACGGAATTAATAAATCTACATTGTTTTCCCTGAATCTTTTCTATACACTAATACACTGCTTCATGGTATAGTGCGTAGTTGTTTTGTTATTCACATTCTAAGAGCTAAGATTGCTTCATATATATATATATATATATATATATATATATATATATATATATATATATTCAGTGTATATATAACCAAAGATAGTTTAAGGTCATATTACTTACTACAAGTTCGTGTACTTGTCGATTTTTTAATATTAACATAGATTTTTTGTGTGGAATGTAGGTTTTTTCGATATGCGAAGTCATTTTTAGGAAAAATATGTATCGAGTTTATTGTATTAACTTTTAAATTATGAATGACAATGTCAAACATTTCATCATTTAAGATGATAAAATATGAGTTGTGTGTAAGATTATTGGAGCACAATTATCCATGATATAAATGTATACCTATAATGTATTCTGAAGTATCTAAGCTAGTATAAACATCTTTGACGCTAATTAGATAATTGCTTTTAGTGCTGTGATTCAGGCTTGACATAAATTTGGTTCAAAATAATATATATTATCTTGTTTTTTAGAAGTGTAATGAGATAGACCAAAAAAGATATACAGGAAATATCTGATATTAGTTATGTACAAATGTTGTTTCCTAGTTAAAACAAAAACGAAATGATGGTAACGTAATCGTTTTCTTAAATAACAGCATACCTAGTTATCAAGAACTTCCATGGCAGTGTTAAGTGTTGTGTTTGATCAACGTTTTATGGAAATCATAGTGACATGAATATTCTATGGAATCCTGATAAACACTTCTTATCTGTTTGATCCATTTCTTATCGGTCTGTGACTCATCTTCAATGTTGTAATTGGCTTATTAAATACATTTCCATCTGAATTGATTAATATCATAGTTATTTGTAATTATAATAATTACTTGCGCAATTATTTTGTTTCATTTTCAGAACTCAAAACTCTCAGATAGTGTTTTGCAGAATGAAACTACTCCACATTTAAAAGGTGGATTGTTGAAGAAAAGGAATGCTTTCGTGAACTTCTTCAGTCGTGGCAAACCTAAACATGGTGGTAAGCACCATCAAAGTCAGCATCAGTTAGCTGTGCCATCAGGATTACAGTCTAGATCAGGAGAACATGAAGCTGTTGCTGACTGTTCGTGTCCTAATTCTAATGATAACGTTTGTGATTCTGAAGTAAATTTAGGAGACAATCCAATCATATCAACTGATAATATACCAAATGTAAAATCTCATGCTTTGGAATATACAACAGAATAACGTGGTCTAAATAATAATAAGCTAAATTTGTATTTAGTCTCTTAAAAGCATAAGTTTCACTAATTGTTCAACATATATTTTACTCAAGTTATTTTACAAACAAACCTGTTGAGAATTATACTAGATTTAGCATCTGATCTTTGCCAAAGTTTTTCATATCCGGTCAATATTGTTTAATTTCTTTAGTTTGTCAGTTATTTGAACTCATCCGTGTGCAATACATACAATTCAAACTCTGATCTTTCATTATTTGACAACCAAACACAGTAGTTGTAATGAATACACGGTTGTAATCAGCTCAATATTCACAATTATTTCTCCAGATCTATTTGCTTGTTTAGTTTTTAATCTATTATTTGGTGTTTATTGTAATTATTATTGCATTAAGCAAAATCCTAATGCGAGTTTTTCTTGTCTTTCTATATGCTTGTTTAATCAATGCTAATTTATTTCTCGACCGCCAATAAAAGTTCATTATTCCTCTGTGTACCCATGACATTTGTCATTTTTCTTTCAACCATAGCATCCTTTTTTGTGGTAATATCCTCACCCACACCTCAACAATTCTCTTCATAGAAATATTGTTACTATCTTCTATTTTAATCAATAAAACCGAATTATGTGGTTATCATTATGATTTCAGAATGTATTTTAGAAACTTTTTTCGATTTGTACATTTAGATTTTTCTGCGCTATACTACTTCTATCACTGTTTTACGTATATATGAATAGATAACCAAATAAAACCATCAGAATATTTGTATTTTACTGCTTGAATTAATTTTCTAAATCGTTTCATATTATCTATATTAAACCAAATAAACTGATTTAACGACACATTATTCACATATTATTTTACGTATTTTCAGAAATATATTTCCGTACCTTTTATTAGTTCTCTCTTATTCTATTCTACATGCTTTATTACCGTTCTATTGTTAATATATTATTTGTATATGATATAATATTGTGTTTTTAAGTTTTCATGCATTTATGTTCATGAACGATGCATTAACACAGACTACAGTACCCATATAATCATGATTACTCCCAATTCAAGGCTGTGTGATATATCAATAAGGCATTTAATCATTTTTTGTGTCTTATTAATTTGTCTTCAATTACTAGAAAAGAAATTATCAATTATTTCAAATTTTCCCATTTAATCGATACATACATATATATCCTTTGTTCTTACATTATACATCAGTTGTTACTTACTGGATAAAATTAAAAACTTCTGCTATAACTATCCCTTCCCACCCATTTTGATTCTTCCACCTGTTTGCATATATGGCAGTGTTTGCCTCTAGTCTTTTTTATATCATAATATATTCTAATATTAAAGACACTTAGTTGTTTTATCCGCCTAACTGGAAGTTAACATCTTAGTGACTTGAATTAAGCCTATTTTCATATAATTTATTAACAGTTTATTCAATACCATGAGATACTTTTATTCCAGCGCCTTTTTCATTCAGCTTAGACCTAGTATTTCTAGCTTTATTATTATATTATATTATATCCAAGCCAACGGAATACTGTGCGTTACTTCCTGTTTGTAGTTAAAAAAGCTTAGTACTCACTCATTCTAATTAATTATTCGTATCAGTTACTTTCAAGCTTTGGACGTAATTGATGTCAGTTTGACTTTACTGCAAACGAACACCCTGATCATATAGCTAAACGTTGCTCTTGTTTTATTAGTGAAATCGTCAACGCTATTTTCTAAATACGTGTGTAAAAAGTAAATCAAACGTCTTGATTTTTCTCAGTAAAAAATGAATTCAACCAACGAATATTAAGGAACATACTTGAATGTGCAAACAGAATGTTTTATTCACGTCATACGTATCTTATTTAGGCAACAGTCTTAGGCAATAAGGTGTAGTGAACAGGTTAGCGGGTTTAATAAGCCGGATCTCCTGACGATGTTATTGCCTTCACATAGTTATTTGAATTTCTGTTTCAATAAAACAAACGTACAAATCACAATAAAGTTATGTTGTTTATTTTATTTCTACAGTGGAATCTGAATATTATTTTTAAAATATAAATTTACAGGTGTAGTAGATTATTTAAGATTGAATCGGTTAGTATCATCGAGTTAGTAAGTTGAAATTGCTAGATACTTTCTGTCTACAATTCTCTTTCTTCATTATAGACTTTTCAGGTAAATCAATAATTGTCACGTCTACTGATTCGTTAAATAATGCTGAATAAATATAATCGTTTCTTCAAAGTTTTCTCTCATTATTGTTATTCAACATCAAAACATTATCATTTACTCACTGAAGTGGTGTAACATTATACTTTCAGCACTACTGGAACACTGATTAATTGCTTTCTAGGTATTTATCTACTCAAATGCATTCATGTTTTATATTCCAGTCATCTTTCAACAAATATACACCAACCGTAGAGATTATCTTATGCTTGGTAAGTATTTCAGGTGTCCAATATTTTCAGTTATAATTTTAGTACATTACAATTGTTCCAAGGTGCATAAAATAGTTCTAAAAGGTTCTCTTCACACAATTAATAAAGTTCTTGATTTATTTTAGCTTAATTATGGTTGGTCAATCGATGTGATTTGATCGAAACAGTTCTAAATGCTTCCTGCATATTCTCTGATTCCAGTTTATAATGTTAATCAATTATACGGTTCTAAATTCCTTTTTGTTCATGTTAATTTTTCGATTATATGATTATATATTAAGTACGTTGCTCGGCATCAAAATATATCTATTATGACTATTTCTTGTTAAGGATTAACGGGGTCTTGTTTCCAGAAATTTCGTTATAACTTGCTACACTCGATTTGACTCATACTTGTCCAGCAAGAGTAGAGGATATTCGTAGTTTACTAGTATTCGGTCATAGCTGTCTTCGAAGCGTTGCTCGTATATCCTGGAACGATCGAGTAATCAGTGCTGTTGGTAGGGAACGGGTAGTAGATAAGGATGGCATCTCAATCGATGAAGTCGTGAGTCATCATCTGTGGACGTGGTTGGGACATGTGTTACATATACCCAACCACCGACTGCCTCAGTGAGCCGTGATGTCTGATTTAGCGATAAGATTGTAACAGTTTCACTCTTACAGACATCTGGAAACAATTGATTTCCTACACATTTTGATTATGTTTACATTTCTGATCAAGCTTTTTAGCTTGTTGTGGATATAAAATAGGAGAATACGCTGAATGCATTACATTTTACAAGAAATATCTTTATTGTTTTTGTCAAAAATAACGAAACCATGTTTTGGATACTGAAACGGATTACTTATTTATCTAGGTCTGTTGGCCCCTAATGGAGCATGGGCCGGCAACCAGCATTCTCCAACCTACTGTGTCCTTGGACTTCCTTTCCACTTCTACCCAATCTCTGTTCATTCTTTTCATATCTTCTCGGCGCGGTGTGTTCCTTTCCTTTGGCCTTGAGGATTCCAAGTGAGGACTTGCCTCGTGATGCAGTTCTGTGATTTACGCAACTTATGTCCTATCCACCTCCTGTATCTTTTCTTAATTTATCCCCAGCTAGAATCTGGGTTGTTCTCTCCAGTTCTTTCCCACAGTAGGTTGTTGCTGATGGTGCAAAAAAAACGGATCTGCAGTATCTCGCGTAAACAGCTATCAAGATACACTGTATCTTCTGGTCGATGGTTGTGGTAGTTCGTCAAGTTTTCGCTTCATAAAATAGAACTAGATTTTCGTATTGAAAATTCTGACTTTAGTGTTGATCGACAGTTGCTGTGAGTGACAGATGATCTTCGATTGTAGAAATACTATCCTTACTTTCTGCTTCGTACCTTTAAATCTGCTTCACATCCACTTTGTTTATCTATGATGATGCTCAGGTATGTAAATGCTTCTACATCTCCCATCATGTGTGATTTGGTTGTCACATGCTGTGTTGTATCGAAGGGTTTTACTTTTTCCCTTGTGTATGTCAAAACCTACTGTTGCTACTACATTGGCCGTCTTCATCTGAATTTGTTCCTCTGTGTGAGATGGAACGGCTAGATCGTCTGCGAAGTCAAAAGGCTTCGGATGTATCCGAGCTGTTCACTGTATTCCGTGATTCCCCTCAGATGTTGAAGTCTTCATAATCCAGACAACTTCCAGGAGAGATGGGATTAAGCAATCTTGTCTGATATCGGTCTCTACTTGAAATCAGTCTATAAGCTGTCCTCCGTGCACGATTTTGCAGTGTACTTCATCATAATCACTCCGTGTGATGTTGACCATCTTCTCACGTGCAACTTAGTGTTGAATAAGCCTCCATAGTGTCATCCTCTCCACCCTATCAAATGCTTTCTTGTCGTCCTTAAAGTTGTTGTACATCAGTGAGTTCCATTCAAATTATTGTGGATACTGCTTTGCCATACTTGACGTCTCACGAACACGCTGCTTTCTTCCATTGTTAGTGGGTCAACATCAGTTGAGAGGTCTGTAGGTGCTGCTTTGATGTTGGTGGGTTCAGTGGAGCCTGTTTATTCAGGAGTTCTTCAAATGTCGGATATTTTATTGCTTTCCTTCTTCTTGCCTAGTTGTTCTGGCTTACTGTACTATGCAGTGAGTGTCTTCATGGTATCGTATCATTGTCTGAAGCTTTTTCATCCATCATTGCTAGATCTTCTACACATTTCCGCCTATCATCTCTAATGCACCTCTTTGCTCGCTTGTTTACTTCTGTGTATTCGGTCTGTACCTTAACTTTCCCTACTCTTGTTTGTATGTTATTGATTTTTGTTTCCCTGTTCTTGCTTTGTTCAGTTTTATCCAGTGTCCACAGAGATCCATTCTTCGTGATGGTGCTTCTTGTGGCACAAAATTTCATGAATGCTGAAGTTATTGCTTCTTTGACCCCTTTTCAGTTGTTCTCCATAGTAGGCTACTTTGATTAGATCGTTAAAGGCCTAGAACTTATTCCTGAGATCTATCTTGAATTCGGTGAGCTTGTCACGATCCTGAAGATTGCATCACATTTTCGTAA